CTCCAGACCCCTCACCATCTTTGTCGCCCTTCTCTGGACCCGCTCCAGCACCTCAATGTCTTTTTTATGGTAGGGAGCCCAAAACTGGACACAGTACTCAAGGTGAGGCCTCACCAGTGCCCAGGACAGGGGAATTGCCGTGTCCTTCCCCGCACCAGTGGGGACAGAAGAGCAGGGCTAGGAGTGAGAACAGCTTGTAGAAAAATGGGAGGCAGCAGGAGAAAGAGACCTATTTGGTAGCATAACTTACCCCATATTGCTAAGATGTTGGTTTTCTACTAAGCTGACCGTCGATAACTAGTAAAATGCTGAAATAATTCTTCCCTCCCCACAAAAAAAAAAAATTAAAAATTAAGAGAAAGCAACCCCCTTCCATTTCTTTTTTCCTTTCACTGACTGATGGTGCTTCATTAAATCTGGAGCATTATGTCAATTCCCATCAATGACAAGCATTTTCTAGTGGTCACACACCTCTGGCTCTGAACAGGCCGTGCTGCTCCAGGGGATGCTCAGCAGCTCAGCAGGAGGTAAATCCACTTCCTGCAAGGCTTCCATTTCGGGATTTCTTCCCCCCAAAAGCGCCACTAAACTCCTTATGCATTCAGCCGTGCCTCCACCTTCCTGCAATAAAACACACATGCTGCTACACTACTCTAGGACATCCTCTAGGATGTCCTCTGCTGCCCACCACCAGCAACCAGGGAAGGGCAAGGGGGAAAGGATCAGGAGCCTCCAGTTATCCTGAAATAGTTCCCTTTCTGGAAATTGTCCTGTCAGGCTCCTTTGGTCTCTGCAGGATCTCTGTCCCCTGGAAGCCCAGAGAGAAAAAACATTGGGGAAGCCAAGTGTATCAAAGACCATATGAATTAGAGCAGCTGTAGGTTTCTGACCGTTTCATCCTCTGTGAGATTTTCATGAGCTGGAAGCTTGGATGAGCACAAGCTGCTTGGCTCGGATGCAACATTTTCTCTGGATCAGCTGCCTGGCAGGAGGAGGTAGGGTGCTGGTTTTGGGAGACACCGTGCTGTCTGCCTGCTCCAGCTGCTCCTCCTCCTCACTTGCCCTAGAAGGGGGTCTGGAGGTCAAGCCAGTGGCAAAGGGGTGCTTCAAGCTTACTGGAGCCCATGGAAAGTATGAAAAGATGACTGTGGAGAGGAGCAATCATAGAATGGTCTAGGTTGGAAGAGACCCTTGGGATCATCGAGTCCAACCATCTCCCCTACTCTACAAAGTCCTCCCCTACACCATGTCCCTCAGCACTGCATCCAAACGGCCCTTAAACACAGCCAGGGATGGGGACTCCACCACCTCCCTGGGCAGCCTGTTCCAATGCCCGACCACTCTTTGGGTGAAAAATTCTTACTGATTTGCTCATAGAGCCTTAACGTCTGGGTCTGGAACCTCCACTGGAGAAGCCCAGAAGTTTGGCTGGTCCTGTACTGGCCTTTATGTGCATGGGAATGGAAGCAAAATGAGACGGGCTGCGAGGAGAAGGAATTAAACAAATAAATAAAGAAAAAGTGCTTGGGAACAGCAAGATGAGAAAAAACCAAACTGAGCCTTGGCGTGAACGTGCATTATTTCATAGAATCATAGAATCATCTAGGTTGGAAGGGACCTTAAAGATCATTTAGTCCAACCATCAACCTAACTCTGACAAAAAATAAATAAGAAATAAGCAATAAAAAAATCACTAAACCATACTCTTGAGGACCACGTCAACCCATCTTTTGAACACCTCCAGGGATGGTGCCTCAACCACTTCCCCGGGCAGCCCATTCCAATGCTGGGTAACCCTTTCCATGAAGAAATTTTTCCTAATATCCAATCTAAACCTCCCCTGGTGCAACTTGAGGCCATTTCCCCTTGTCCTATCTCCTGTGACCTGGGAGACCGACCCCCACCTCTCTACACCCCCCTTCAGGTAGTTATAGAGTGTGATAAGGTCTCCCCTCAGCCTCCTCTTCTTCAGGCTGAACAACCCCAGCTCCCTCAGCCTCTCCTCATAAGACTTACTCTCTTATTTTAAGACTTATTTGCTAGACATCGCCGTCTGATCTTAGAGTCACAAGCCTGAGCACTGAAACCACCGCGGAGTCATCACGGAGTTGCCAAACGAGGGTTTCAGCAAACTTCCCAGTACTCACCAGAGGCACCACACGACTCACGTGGTGGGCTGGGAGTGAGAATTCGTCACGATTTCGGTGAGGCACGTAGGCACTGGAGCTCCCTGGCAGAGCGTGATCCCATTTCACAGCAGCTCTTGAGGTTTCAAAATGAGTTCCCTCCGTCTGAAATGAAAGCAGCATCTTTCAGATATTGTTTTTTTTTTTTTAAAGGAATTTTGTTGAAATGTCTATTTTGGGATTAAAATCTGAAGCTTTTTCAGGACAGAGTGGATATTGTACTGCACAAGGCACTGGCTGGGAGGATGAGACACCCTGGCTGTCATCTCCACTCCCCTGGAGGCATGGGCACGGTTTGCTACCCCAGTAACTGTGAACACACCGAGCTCAGCAAGAAGATCCCTGTGGCTACAGTGTCCCTGAGCCAGGGGGACAGCACGAGGGTTGACATGTAGCTCCTCCAACTTGGAGCTTCCAACTTGGAAAAGGAGTAAGTGGTATAAAGTCAATTCCCATCAATGACAAGCATTTTCCAGTGGTCACACACCTCTGGCTCTGAACAGGCCGTGCTGCTCCAGGGGATGCTCAGCAGCTCAGCAGGAGGTAAAACCACTTCCTGCAAGGCTTCCATTTTGGGATTTCTGCCCCCAAAAGCGCCACTAAACTCCTTATGCATTCAGCCGTGCCTCCACCTTCCTGCAATAAAACACACATGCTGCTACACTACTCTAGGACATCCTCTAGGATGTCCTCTGCTGCCCACCACCAGCAACCAGGGAAGGGCAAGGGGGAAAGGATCAGGAGCCTCCAGTTATCCTGAAATAGTTCCCTTTCTGGAAATTGTCCTGTCAGGCTCCTTTGGTCTCTGCAAGATCTCTGTCCCCTGGAAGCCCAGAGAGAAAAAGGGAATACACTTGGGGAAGCCAAGTGTATCAAAGACCATATGAATTAGAGCAGCTGTAGGTTTCTGACCGTTTCATCCTCTGTGAGATTTTCATGAGCTGGAAGCTTGGATGAGCACAAGCTGCTTGGCTCGGATGCAACATTTTCTCTGGATCAGCTGCCTGGCAGGAGGAGGTAGGGTGCTGGTTTTGGGAGACACCGTGCTGTCTGCCTGCTCCAGCTGCTCCTCCTCCTCACTTGCCCTAGAAGGGGGTCTGGAGGTCAAGCCAGTGGCAAAGGGGTGCTTCAAGCTTACTGGAGCCCATGGAAAGTATGAAAAGATGACTGTGGAGAGGAGCAATCATAGAATGGTCTAGGTTGGAAGAGACCCTTGGGATCATCGAGTCCAACCATCTCCCCTACTCTACAAAGTCCTCCCCTACACCATGTCCCTCAGCACTGCATCCAAACGGCCCTTAAACACAGCCAGGGATGGGGACTCCACCACCTCCCTGGGCAGCCTGTTCCAATGCCCGACCACTCTTTGGGTGAAAAATTCTTACTGATTTGCTCATAGAGCCTTAACGTCTGGGTCTGGAACCTCCACTGGAGAAGCCCAGAAGTTTGGCTGGTCCTGTACTGGCCTTTATGTGCATGGGAATGGAAGCAAAATGAGACGGGCTGCGAGGAGAAGGAATTAAACAAATAAATAAAGAAAAAGTGCTTGGGAACAGCAAGATGAGAAAAAACCAAACTGAGCCTTGGCGTGAACGTGCATTATTTCATAGAATCATAGAATCATCTAGGTTGGAAGGGACCTTAAAGATCATTTAGTCCAACCATCAACCTAACTCTGACAAAAAATAAATAAGAAATAAGCAATAAAAAAATCACTAAACCATACTCTTGAGGACCACGTCAACCCATCTTTTGAACACCTCCAGGGATGGTGCCTCAACCACTTCCCCGGGCAGCCCATTCCAATGCTGGATAACCCTTTCCATGAAGAAATGTTTCCCAATATCCAATCTAAACTTCCCCTGGTGCAACTTGAGGCCATTTCCCCTTGTCCTATCTCCTGTGACCTGGGAGACCGACCCCCACCTCTCTACACCCCCCTTCAGGTAGTTATAGAGTGTGATAAGGTCTCCCCTCAGCCTCCTCTTCTTCAGGCTGAACAACCCCAGCTCCCTCAGCCTCTCCTCATAAGACTTACTCTCTTATTTTAAGACTTATTTGCTAGACATCGCCGTCTGATCTTAGAGTCACAAGCCTGAGCACTGAAACCACCGCGGAGTCATCACGGAGTTGCCAAACGAGGGTTTCAGCAAACTTCCCAGTACTCACCAGAGGCACCACACGACTCACGTGGTGGGCTGGGAGTGAGAATTCGTCACGATTTCGGTGAGGCACGTAGGCACTGGAGCTCCCTGGCAGAGCGTGATCCCATTTCACAGCAGCTCTTGAGGTTTCAAAATGAGTTCCCTCCGTCTGAAATGAAAGCAGCATCTTTCAGATGTTTTGTTTTTTTTTTTTAAAAAGGAATTTTGTTGAAATGTCTATTTTGGGATTAAAATCCGAAGCTTTTTCAGGACAGAGTGGATATTGTACTGCACAAGGCACCGGTTGGGAGGATGAGACACCCTGGCTGTCATCTCCACTCCCCTGGAGGCATGGGCACGGTTTGCTACCCCAGTAACTGTGAACACACCGAGCTCAGCAAGAAGATCCCTGTGGCTACAGTGTCCCTGAGCCAGAGGGACAGCACGAGGGTTGACATGTAGCTCCTCCACGCTTCTAATTTGAAAAAGGAGTAAGTGGTATGAAAAGTCGAACTCACAATAAGAGTTGAACTCAAATAAAGCTATTAAGGATTTGGCAGGACTATCAGGCATCCTGTGGCTTCCTAGCACCCCCGTCTGGTCTGTTGTCCCTGGCTCCTCTTCCAGACCAAAGCCAACTCCCAGGGACACGTAGGCTCCTACAGAGGCAACAGGTTGTATCTTGGATGTCCCAGCTCTGGTCTCCTCTGCCTACAGACAGCTCTCCTCCTGTTTGCTCCTGGCATGAAGAGCCTCTCGACAGAGGTTGAGGAGGTGACACTTTGACTTAGACAGAATTCATGGAAAAATGAACCAAAGTGACTTGTGTTTGCATCAGTCTCTCGGCCAGCAGGAAGCCTCAACTCCTGACAGCGGGCAGCAGACCCCCAAAATATGATCTGAACCATATTTTGCCCATCCAAGGACAAGAAAAGCCCTCAGCAGGAGCGCCTGTCCCTCTGGTTCCTGCTACCCCCTGCACAGAGCAGAGCTTCCAGACTCACACCAGGATGCTCCAGAGGAGGAACAAACAGGCTGGAAGCCTGACAGCTAGCTGAGCGCGTTGGCTTCGCTTGGATCTCCTCACAAGCTGCCAGCTCAGCTAGACAGAAGGCTGTTTTCCTATTTATTTAATAATTAAAGTGAAAGGCATCTTCTGGGAAGCCTATTTTTCTCGTTTACCAGATGAGGTTACAATAGTCAGCTGTTTGCCTAAAGATGGACACGATGCTGCTCACTGCGGTATCAAGGCCTAGATGGAGTTGAGAGTGGACACAAGGTCATGCTGAAGGAAGCAAGACACACACTCACTATCTACGCATGACCTTCAAACAAGCTGTGGATGGCATGAAGCCTCTGTGATCCTGCGTTCAGCCCAGGACTCCGTTCCTGAGTTCATACCCTCAAGACGGAGCTGGGGCTCTCGGCTCCACCAGCCCTTCATGGCCAGAGCTGAGGACCAGCCACCTCGAGGAACGAAGCACCCAACCCATGGCTCCTGCTGCAAAACGTCTTGATGCTTTCATTTTCATTGCAGAGGGAAACTTAAGGGAACAGCACTCGTGTGCCTCTTCCAAATTGGAAGCAGGAATAGAGACTGGGAACACTGTAGTTCTGAATATTCAGCCTCCCATACGCTGAGCAACCTGACCTAGTTGAAAGTGTCCCTGCTTATTGTAGGGGAGGTTGGACTAGATGACATTTAAAGGTCCTTTCCAACCAAAACTATTCTACCATTCTGTAATTCCACGATTTTGGGGTGTGTGATGCTGCTGGTGGGCTCCTGTGAAGACGTGCACTGCCTTTAGCCCCTCAGCACGCTCCAGAGGCAGTCACAGCTTCAGATTTACCAGTTTCATCACAAAAAGCTGCAGGGTTAACACTGAAACGTTTCCCAGTTAGTTGCCAAGCCAGTGGCAAAGGGGTGCTTCAAGCTTACTGGAGCCCATGGAAAGTATGAAAAGTCCTGCTGCAAAATATCTTCATGCTTTCATTTTCATTGCAGAGGGAAGCTTAAGGGAACAGCACTCTTGTGCCTCTTCCAAATTGGAAGCAGAAATAGAGACTGGGAACACTGTAGTTTTGAATATTCAGCCTCCCATACGCTGAGCAACCTGACCTAGTTGAAAGTGTCCCTGCTCATTGTAGGGGAGGTTGGACTAAATGACATTTAAAGGTCCTTTCCAACCAAAACTATTCTACCATTCTGTAATTCCACGATTTTGGGGTGTGTGATGCTGGTGGTGGGCTCCTGGTGGTCTCCAGGTGGGCTGCTGTGAAGATGTGCACTGCCCTTTAGCCCCTCAGCACACTCCACAGGCAGTCACAGCTTCAGATTTACCAGTTTCATTACAAAAAAACCTGTGGGGTTAAGGCTGAAATGTTTCCTGGGTGGTTGAAGAGGTTTGATGGACTTCTGCCAAGGCAGGGAAGGACACAGAATCATAGAATGGTAAGGGTTGGAAGGGACCTCAAAGATCAACCAGTTCCAACCCCCTGCCCTGGGCAGGGACACCTCCCACCAGACCAGGTTGCTCCAAGCCCCATCCAGCCTGGCCTTGAACCCCTCCAGGGATGGGGCAGCCACAGCTTCTCTGGGCAACCTGTTCCAGTGTCTCACCAGCAGGGTCTCCAGGAACACTGTGCAGGCAACAGCTGAGGAGCTTCCTGCTTGTCAGAAACTTTGCCTATGCCAGAGATAGCCCCAAACCCGAGTTTGGTAAGAGCATTGCTTTCTACCATCTGTAAAAATGCTATTTTTCAGCTCTTCTCTACCGTAACTCACTTCAAGACCAGCTCTCCCCATGGCAGTGACTACAAACGAGCTGCAGAAATGACTCCCTCCAACTCTGAGCTATCACACTCCAAGCAAAACTCATCAAGCAAATGGTACTGTGGGCCAGCATGAAAGGAAGACCTGCTCTAGCA